CACTGTTTATATATAATCTTCTGTTTATATGGTCTCTTCTGTATCTGTTGTTATTAGTTATAGTGTTGTATATGTAAAATATATATATTTTTTTTGTTAAACATTATTTTTGCATGATTATAAGAACATACAGTGATCAGCCTCCGCATTAAAACCACCTCTGAACGTGTCCTGAGGTATCTACTACCAAGACATTAGCAGCAGATCCATTAAGTGCTGCAAGTTGCAAGATTGGGCTTCCATGGATTTGATTTGTTGCTCCAGCATATCCCACAGATGCTCAATTGGATTAAGATTTTGGGAATTTGGAGGTTAAGTGAATACCTTGAACTCTGTCAGGTTCCTCAAACCATTCCTGAACAAATTTTGGTGCATTACCCTGCTGAAAGAGGCCACTGCCATCAGGGAACACCATTGCCAAGAAGTCTGTAACAATCTCTAGGTAGGTAGTACTTGTCAAAGTAACATCCATCTGAATGCCAGAACCCAAAGTTTCCCAGCAGAACATTGCCTTTGCCTGCATCCTGCTGCCATCTCTTCCTTAGTTAAATGACGCACTCGCACCCAGCCATCTACCTGATCTACAGTAAAACGTGATTCATCAGACCAGGCAAAGTTCTTCCATTGCTCCATGGTCCGGTTCTCCTTCCTTGCACCACTTTTGGTAGGTACTACCCACTGTGTACCGGGAACACCCCACAAGACATGCAGTTGTGGATATGCTCTGTCATCTAGCCATCACTATTTGGCCCTTGTCAAAGTCACTCCGATCTTTTCGCTTGAGTTTTTTTTTTTTTTTTTACTGCTTCTAACACATGAACAAGAACTGACTGTTGACTTACTGTTTAATGTAACCCACCCCTTGATGCATGTGCCATTGTTATGATATAATCAACTTTGTTCACGTCACCTTCAGTGGTTTTAATGTGGCTGATCAGTGTATACATGGGTATACATAGCAAAAAGTCTAAAGCATGCTGTAAAAGTAGGTTGCCTATTAGCAAAGCCATAAGTAAATTAAAGTAACAAAAAAATGCTATGTGAGGCCCCTGCATATATCTGCAAAAGAAAACCAAGATTTAGAGTAAGTAGGCACTGAACGTCATTCGGCCTGCAGAGAAGGGGGGCAAAAATATTGTCAGTAAAACAGGCATATGATCGGGAAACAGAGGTTTATGCACAGTCTGTGGACCAATCATTCAGTCTGGGAATGCAATTCAAGTTCCTCTAGGAGACAAAATCAGCACTGTAATTTCTTGTGATGTTTAATATCTGTACAATTGTTGGCATCTCTGATTAGCCAGCCCCATATTAAGAATAGAGCCTGCACCCAAACACCACACATCTGTCTGTAATAAGATACATTTTGCATGTATATGATCTTGTATGTGTCTAACATCAGTGTGTGTATGTGTTCCTGTGCTTGTACCAGTGTACTTGCAATGTAAAAGTGTATATATTGGTGTCCCTCAGTATACATTGTCAGGTCTGCCCCCAAATTCTATACCCAGTCCCCATTATCTGTTTTCAACATTTACTTGCTGAAACCACCCCACTAGCACCCCAAGTGTATCTGTATTTGATTCCCGTTTGAGTTGTCTGTGCAGTTTTCCTTCCCTTGCAACTTTAAACACAACACAGCAGGGATGGAAGGGGTGGGGAAGTGACATCACAACCCGCCTCTGTCTCACTATTGTGCGACCAATGATTTAGAGTTTAAATGACAACTTATCAAATTTCCATTTTCTTATTTAAAAAAAAAAAAAAAAAAAAGTTTTATTACATTTAAATAAACTAAATGATATTTTTTAGATTATGGATGTTACATTTAACCTATCTGTGTCCTTATAGGCTGTGGGCCATGTATTTGCCAGCCCTGTCCTACAGGCAAATGTTTGTTCGCGTGTGTTAACTTTTGTGTGGATATGGTTCTTAAATGAGAATAAGTGAAGTTTTTTTCACTGCTTGACAATGTTAATCTATTACAAGCAGCTGCACACAAGCAGAGATTAACTCTGTATATTTGAATGTTTTAAACTTTGTTACATAAATTTGCTTGTGCTAAATGAGAAACTAATTTCTTCTAAACCAAACTGTACATAAATTACACATTTTAGGAGAATTCACATCTAAACTGTGAGTTGAAGAGGTATTTTAAGCACCATAACTACTATAGCCCACTGTTATGGTTATGTTTTGCTATTGTAGACATCACTGGCCCCTCATACTTTTCTCAGTAGCAATGTCAAATGTGGGTGGCATTCACTAGCACTTACAAGCAGTGAATGTCTTCCAAATTTGGATGAAATTAATATTGCTAAAGCGAAAGTGTGAAGGCCAGTGACCCATAGTTTGTATCAAACTGCTCCAATGGTTTGACACCAAACTGGTGGAACTGTGACAGGAGCATGCTGATGCCATAATCACTACAGTGTGTTGCAGTGGTTATGGTGCTAAAAGTGCCTCATTAATTAACTACTCATTTTAATAGTGTGTGTGTGTGTGTGTATGTATATATGTGTGTGTATATATATATATATATATATATATATATATATATATATATATATATATATTAGTGTGTTAAAAGTTGCATTTTTGAAAACTCAAATTAATGAGTTAAAAAAAGGTCTTGTGTAACTACCATCCCATCCTCCCCCCCCAAAACCAGAATTTAAAATGGATTTTATTTAACTTCTGCCATTTTTATTCTTCTCCAACGTTAAACCATAACTCTATAAATTGTTATGGGTCTTGCAGAGTCTCTTTGAAAGAACACCGTATCTTTCATTTGCATGTTTAAGCTGCCACTGAATTTCATATCTGGAAAAGCAGTAGCTCCCATTTTACAGTTTAGTTTCTCTAGCATTTATAAGTGTCATTTCCATTCTGCCTGTGTAGCCGGCTACTTTATTTCCCCTTAACCCTCATGCATGCTTATTATTTTCTTTCTGTAGATTGCAGTTGCCATTTCTGAGTGCGTGTAGTCACAGAGACTGATATATGCGTAGAGGATTGGTTATATTATCCCTCTTTTAATGGCATTTTATTTCCTGTAGCTTTTCTCTTACTCAATTTGTAAACTAGGTACATTTGCACTATTTATGACAGTCTGTTAAAATGCTATATATTTTTCGAAAGGGTTAACACATCCAGTAAAAAATGTATTTTGGAGCTTACATTTCCCTTTATGGTTTCATCCTATCCTTAGTACAGTTTTATGAATGAAGATAACATCCAGTTTTCTGTTGGGATGCTAAGAGCTGACTGTTAAGTTTCGAGCTTGGGCTCATTTCAAATTGGTTCTTATATGTGATCACTTGAGATTTCTTGGTTCTGATATACTATTATTTTTTTGGCTTTTCATAACATCTGCAATTGTTGAGTTTTCTTTTCTCCTTGTACAGTTATGTTTCAGAATCTATGGGTGCCATCCCAATTGTATTTTTCATTTATTTAATCAATTTTATTTGCCACACTGTGTATTAATAAGGCAGCCAAAGTGACGGCAATCTACACATGGTGGAGAGAGCATTTTTTTTTGCAAATCACTCTGAATAGCTTGACAAAAAGTATTTGGGGGTGGGGGACACCAAAAAAAGGCGGCAGCCTTTCATAATCCCAGTCCTATTAAAGAAGCAGACCTGAAACCATGCAGTTTCGCCTTATGTATTTTAGCTCCGCTTGACAAAAGGTGGAGCTACGTTTGTCAAATTTTGTTACTTCAGGGTCAGAGAATATTTATGGAGGCTCTTGTGGGATCATCCATAGATCTCACTGATATACATTCACGCAGGTCTGATAATACAGCACTCTCATATGTATATATATTTGGGAGTCTAGCCAGCTCCTTGGTTTTGCACCCCTCCCTGTCACAAGTGCATTATCCCAGGGCCCTATTTAGCCTAGTACTGCAGAGAACCCCAGATGGAATTTTAGTATCTCATGAAGCAAACACTAGGCTGTTAGAGTAGGACCTGTCAAAGATGGGGTACATTGACGTTGTGACAGGCTTATGCAATGTATGATCATATAATGTAACTAAACCCCCATTATATTTTTGCATAGATTAGGTGTTTTTAAAAACCTACTAAAATCTGTCAACATTGAAGTTGCTGTTTAGGGGATAGGTGCACTGGATTTTGAGTTTTTGTGTATTGAAAATACAGCACTGATGTGGTCTCCTAGCTAATAAATAGTGCCAGAAGCTAAAGAGCAGTCAATGTATGCAGAGTAAAACTCACCTTCACCTTCACCGCCGCCGTCACCAGAAACCAAGTGGCAAAGTCACCATTGGGGAGGGGGTCTTTGCAAATTCTACAAACACTTTAAGAAAAAAAACGATGTTTGTATAGCTGTGATATGTTTCATTAATGAACGTGGTGGAGATAGTTTTAAATGCTTAAAGGGGCAAGAAACATCCATTTATTCTTTCTAGCAAAATAAATCATAAACTCATAAAACGTATGCCTATATTCCCTCCTAACTAATGTTCTATGTTTTATCTTAACCTCTGCCACTGGGTGATTATTTCTGGGGCACAGCCATAATTTTTAGGTGACCACCACAGAAACCTATTAAAATTCCTAGAAATGTTCTTCACCCCAGAATTATAGCAGTTTTGCCTTGATGACTATGGCCTCAAAGTATCTTTATCACTGGATGTGTTATCATTCCCTCAGCTAATTTTTATATATAAAAGAGCAATGTATGCCTATTTTAATCAGGATGAAGTGAGATATTCTGTCAGTGTGCTGTGATTAGCATGCAGATGATGTTTAAGTGGCAGGTTACAATCATGAATCCAATCATGACTAAGTGACAGTGACATTCTGCTCCAGACAATGTGAGTCCTTTCCCTGCTGTGCATCCTCTGCAGTGATGCTCTGTGCTTTCAGGCTGGGACTGGCGTGTGGGCGGAGCAGATGGCAACTGCGTGCGCCTTAGCCAATCACAAAGCAAGGGGAAGGCGGCCAATCGCTAGCTACTGCTGGGACTATCCAATCCCCGTGCGCGTCGTGCATGAGATTCCCGGAAGAGTCCTCCTGCAGGTGCTGTGACAGTTTGAGCCCATTCAGTGCCAGGAAGGGTCCCAGCAGCTCAGCACCTACTGACTGGTAACCAGGGGCAACACAGCCCCATCCCCTCCCTTGGCAACACATGGAGGGCAGCAGGTAAGCCTGGCAGTGCCACCCACTTCCACATCATTATAACCCCATGGAGGGTGGATTACCTGGCTACTAATTAAATTAACACAGTGACTCCAGGGGATTAGTCCAAGCTGGAGAGAGGAAAAAAAATAAATTAAAATATATATATATATAATTTATTATTTATTCTCTGTTTTGTAACTGAAACTTGTTGATATGGAAAGTATGCAGCTTTTATATAATCCTGTATTCTCTTATTTGCTGGTATTTCATGAATTGGGACTTTTAAAGTTTATTTAAGCTGTCCTCAGGATATATAACCCCCCAGTTTTCTTTCTGTGCCCCTTGGCATTCAGGTTTGCTAGCTGGCAGAGTATATAAAGCAATAAATGGCCGTGGTTAACCTTACAGCACTACAGCAGGGCAGCTGGCATTGCAGAATGTAGCATAGTCATGTTTGGACCCTTATATAAGCAATATGCAATGATATTTATATAATTTGTTTCTGCTATGTATTGGGCAGTGATGGCTTTCCTTGGTACTGCAGATGTTAATTAACTACATTTACCTGCAGGTTGGGTGAGAATCACTAGAAATTAATTTTACAAACCTATATAGTGTCAGTACTGGCCAGCACTGGTGGATTAATATAATTATTTGTAATAAAACACAACCCAGACACTCCTTGTCACATACAAGGTTAAATAAATCTTTCTGCTCCCTCCCACTACCCTCTCTAGAGTCTAGACCTAACTACACATATAATATGAGCAATTCACAATTATCAGATCAATATTGAGGCATGTAAACTCATGTGGGGGTGGGGCGAGATTGGCATTCGACTAGTTCATTTGTACCAGGGAATGTTTGAATGTAAATCTAAATTAATTGCTGAAAAATCAAAATCTTTAAATAGTAAAATCGTATAGATCTGTAATCCCATATTTATATTTTAGGGTTAATCATGAGTAATTTAGAATGCAGGATCATCTCAGGCATTGGTCAGTAAAATATGAATTATCTAAATATCACTAGCTACGCTATCTTTCAAATAAGGCTAAAGGAATGAGTGTCAGTAAGTAATGAATTTGTAATGTCAGAACGGAGTGGAGCTACAACATAACATATTTATTCCACTGTATTAACATATTTTCTTCTAAAATCAATCAGTCCAAGTTCAATATTGATCTACATATATTATATATTTAAACCAAGAGTCAATCCTGGCTGCTTCAAATACAAGTAACCATACAATGACTCCGTCTGCGATGGACGTGAAGAGACCAGCTGAATGTTTTGCATGATTTCTCCTATCCCTGACCTTGGAAGGATACAGTATACTGCTTATGCATGGTAGCTTTTATCATTTTAATATGCACATCAATCTGCTGGCTCGCCTGAATTCCCAAAGCTATACTTCTGATTTCTTTATTTATTTACCTTAATAACCATAACCCTTTCAATGCTAGAGGTTTTGGCACAAACAAATTGCCATGTAAATATGCCAGTTAGTTCTTGTCAATGCTGTACAGTCCGCCTGATCATCAGTAAAATAGATTGTCTTCTAAATTAACCACTTGCCCCAGCCATCCATTTGTTCATCCAACAATTATAGTTTCTAGTTTTTATTTCCATACAGATACAATTTAAAAAATAAAAAAAATATATATATATATAATTTTCATTGAAATATATGCATACCGTTTTTGGGGGGCATATATCAATAATGGCAAAAGATGTCAGCTGCTATGAACTATGGAAAGCTGGAAATAAGCCTGGAAGTGGCAAAATCTCACTTTAGATATAATTCACTTAGTAAATTTTACATGTTCATGAGAAATGTTATACAGAGCAGCTGGACTGACAAATGTTAGTTAGAACTGGAATAGTAGATTAAACGCCAGTGTCATGTGTTCCCTTGTAATGCTATGCACGCAGTCAACAGCGAGAACATTTGTGTCCAGATTTTTATATTTATTTGCGCAATTTATTGACTAAATATTACACAGTACACACTCACTTTCCAGGATTTTTAATACTGTTTACCTATTGCCTATATTTAACACCTATATAATAGCTAGATAGATACAAGTATGATGGCACTCACCATTTCAATCAGTCTAATAACCTAGTTATGGGGTAGGCAACCTACGGCACGAGTGCCATGCACGGGACTCAAGGCTGTTAGAGCCAAACAGGCTCTGTCCTATCAGGAGTCTCAGTGACACTTCAGATATCTGCTAATACGAAAAGGTGGTGAAGAACAATCCTCAATTTATGCATTGCACCACGTAGAGAAAGTAATCATAGATCACTTCCTCCTAGCACTTGTGAATGGGAATCCACACTGGAGTAAAGCAGCCCGCATCGGCTGTTGCAGCTCCTGTCCTTGACCTGTACCTGACCAGCATGGTCCACGCTGGACCCCAGGGAAGCCACCCACACTGCTAGATATACACAGGAATGCAGAATAACCCTCCCCTCATACAAATAATACAAACATACAAACAATCTGCACAAACTCAACACCACTAACAATCCACATACATGCACACAACCCCACATGCAGCCTCTCACGTGCAATACCCCAAACAGCCCCTCACATACACACACTACCAAATACACAATGTGACAAATCCATCTACACACACACACACAATTCCACAAGTAGACCCCATACACAGTCTTAGGTATCATACACGATACCACAAACGACTCATTAACATATACAATATAACAGCCCACATACGCACAAATACAAAGATACAAAGCAATTGCAGTATAAATAACACAAGCAGAATATTACACACCTCAATTAAAAAAAATAGGACCGGCACCCTACGGGACATAACAATCCTATTTCGGCACAGGGCTGCTAAAAGGTTGCCTATTCCTGACCTGGTAGGTGCCCTGGTGCAATCCCACGCTGGAGGTATATATAATATAGAAAGTAGAGATGCACTCTTCAGTCTTTGAAAAAATAAAGTGGTATTTTATACATCAAAAAGTTTACAATCATCCGATCGACGTTTCGACCCGTTTATTTTTTCAAAGACCGAAGAGTGCATTTCTACATTCTATTATATATATTAGTGATGTGTGAATTATAACATTAATAAGGTTATTCACAAAAGTGAGAATTCAAAGTGAATTTCAAATTTAAGGTTAAAATAGCTAAACTGGAAATTTTTTCTAAGTCCACTACACTTGCCTTAAATTTGAAACTCACTTTGATTCTCACTTTTAGTGAAAAAAAAATAATGTAAATATAGATATTCACATCTCTATATCCTGCATCCGATTTAAGAAAATTATATATACCGTATTCTGTTTATCCTCAATAATTAACAAATATGTATTTGTGAGGTGTGAAAAATGTAAAAGCAAATGTATAAATTAGTGAGGTAAACTCTAAACCACAGTACCGGTGTATTTGGAGTCAGTGGTAGATGTTTCTCTTTAAAAAATTTCTTGTGACCTGTTTCTTTTTCATTGTATTAATTATACATCCGATGTAGAATGTTCTAACATAGCAAAAATCTCTCCAGGGGTTTACCTTCCTGGTCCTGAAATATTCAGCTCTTTCAAAAATGTGTCGGCTGACAAATTGCTACACTATAGTGCAGTGTTGGAAAAGTGATGGTCACAGACAGACCAACATACTGAAGCGACTCCTTAGGGATTGATTTTCTTTGGGATCAGAGACTGAAAGCTGGCTCTGCATGATTTGTCTCGTGAGAATTTAATCAGGACTAGAAAACAACCATGGCCTACTGGTTTTAATAGACTACAACTCCCATCATAGGAAGCCAACAAAATAATATGTTCGAGGTCAGACCTGCCCAACTTGACAGTAGTTAAGGGCCAAAATTAAAATAGGAAGAATTTTTTTTTGAGGCCACCGGTTTTTAGCACCTCACTAACCAGATAAATGTATAAAATTACATGTAAAAATACAGATATATATACATACACATACACACTCTCTCGCAAACAGATGCAGACACAGACATACATTGACATGCGTACAGATACACGCACACAGGGCAAAATATACACCATTATAGCCACTCACCAGTTTCCTACCTTTTGGATGCCAGAGGGTGGCTTCCCTGGTGTCCAGTGTGCTGGCTGAGGCTGTTTGGAGTTGGGGGCTGGCTCCTGCAGCCTGTGCCGCTTCCTCTGCAGCCTTCTCATCTGTCTTCCTGTGTCCATCATCTATGCCTCCCCCTCCAGCGCAGCTCCACATCTCTCTGGGAGAAGGTGACAGGCTGTCACTTTCTCACAGGTTGCCGTTAAGCAGAGGTCATGGTTGTGCTGTTAAAGGGCCACAGCTCCAGACCGGGCTGCTGAAACTCCAAGCACAATTACCATTACCATGGTGCTCCCCCATTGTAAGTAGCCAAACTGTTACAGAACGGGTTGACTTATTGCCTTGGGTTTGCCTGGTACTACTCCCCACCTCCACTACCTTCAACAGAGAGCCAGACACTCCTAAGCTGGAGCTTCCATTAGCTGTCCTAAACATAATGGACAATCTTTCAGTGATCGGAAAAAGAGAAAAAAACAGCGCTAGATTGCCACAATAATATTATAAGAAAGGCAGCACTCCTCAAAGGGGAGTCCCCAATAATCCCCTAATGGTAACAGATAGCAAGAACAAACAGAGATATAAGGATGCGCCTAAAACTTGATAAAATAAAAGACTAAATTAGTCAGATAAAATACAGATTAAAATAAGTAATAAAACAATAGTCCAATAAAATAGGCTTATCACAGTCCGTGAGGGTAGGTCCCACTTGTAAAGGAATATTCTTTAGGGTGTAGGTGGGATCGTATCTTCAAATGTTGAGAATTCAGCATATGTGGAGAGAAAAATAAAAACAGGACTCCAATGGCACAGTAAATCGGTGTATAAAATTAAATATAAAAGTATAAAATCAGTCTTACTCACACTTTTCAGAGCTAGGATCAGCTCTGATATTGCTCGCGTAAAGTGGAATAATCCCCACTTCAAGGATATATGGAGTAAATTTTGATAGTTGAATATCTGACGTGGGTTCAGCGTTCAATTTGACGTAATACGACCCAGAGGAAAAAATTAAATAAAATATATAGTGCTCACTGTATGTAATAAAATTAAAAGAAAGTAAAGTATACTACTCACGTAAAGTAGAGCAGACTCAAAACTGCTCAGTGAAGGCGCTCGGGTGGTACAATCCCCACCTATGGATTCTTTGTACTTCCTGCAGGGTGAGCCGTATACATAAAAGCAATAAAAGAAAATGTATGTAAAATCAGGTAAAGGAGAAAACAAATGGCAATAAAGTATTTTATGCCAATAAAATATCTTTATTATAAAATTAAGAACAAAATCTATTAATATCTAAACGCGTTTTGCCTTAACAGGCTTCTTTAAGTAGATCAGTGATCGTCTGATGCTCTGGGCCAATGGCCTAGTCTCCATGTCTCAGGTAGTGAAAACAGCTTGAATACTCCTAATGTAGGGGCGTGGGACACCAGGACACTCTTGGCACCATAACCACTACAGCATGCTGACAGTTATTGAGTGTTTCATTAAAATATTGATAAGGTATTTACTAAAAAAAAATTAACCTTTTGTAAGGACACTTTAAGAATAAAAAAAACAACAACTAAAAGTAAAGAAATTGATAACCTTTTATACAATGTATTGGGAGCTTTCCTTGAAAGAAGAAATAGTTGGCTCATAATTTTACTGTTGTTCTAATACGTTCACCTCTCAGCTGAAATGAATAAAGAACATAATATACTGTGACTGGGTAAGGAAACACGGGTACTTTAAGTAAATGGAGAATTTACAAGGGGAATTCATATTTGAGACAAATAATACTAAGCTGGGAAAATTTAGAAATAAAAACGTATTACTGTGTTTCTGCATTAGATGGTAACTACACCATATTTTGTAATGTTGTATTTTTCAGAATGATTCAGGGTTAAGTTGCGATGGGCTGGATGTACCCTGGTGAAGAGACTGTGCCTTTCCATCTACAATGGCTTCAGAGATGGAGAAGGCTAGTGCCCTGCTCCAAACTTTCAGCACCGCTTCTGTTGTTTCAAGTTTAGGATTGAGCGTCTTCTGCTTTCTGGCAGACAATGTTCAGCAAGCTCCCTTCATCCAGCAAAACGATTGGCTGAGAGCCCTGTCTGACAATGGCACACATGGTGTGATTGGCATGTGGTCCTGGGCGATTGTGATTGGTCTCCGGAAGAAAAGTGACTTTTATGAAGTTATCCTCGCTGGCTTTTTTGCATCTGTTATTGACCTCGATCACTTCTTCCTTGCTAGTTCGTTTTCACTGAAGGTAAGGGAGGTACGGGCTCTCTAATTGCACTGTATAGAGCCTGACTAATAGTTGTCTATTAGTAGCACTGCATTTACAGTTAACTTTAGAATACTTCTGGAAAATCTATTTTTATGTCACATTTTTAAAAAATTATTAGTGCCAAAGAACCCTTAAAATACATGGGAACTTTTTTTTTTTTTTTTACACAATCTAAACAGTGGCTAGTTATGGGTCCAAGTAGATCTTTTATTTTCTAACACCTCAAGGTCTGATTACTTAATGTCTTGTTATTCTTGGCTGTCTGTGCTTAGTGTATATCTGTGCGTTAACGTCTGTTGATTAATAAATCTTTGTAAATCTTGTTTCAGTTTTGCTGCCCTCTCTTCCATAGTTTTGTCTTATTCGCTCTTCATTCCATTTTGTGCCTTCGGCTTACCTTCTAGTGCCCTTTCCTTTGCCCTTGAAGACAATCATGCAATGTCAGATGATCAGCACTTACATAGTTCTAATATTATCAAGGTGTATAACTCTCTGCCTCTTACAGACATTCTGCTCTTCTCTCCACAGTAAGAATACAACAAACCATGTAGAATTAGATTGGTAGTTAACAATAACATTTTTCAACACAGCGTGGTCATTAATATCCACAATTGTTCCACGTCTTGACATTTAAAAAAATATATTAATCATTGCCAAAATTACAATTCAACATTGCATTTTTTCTTCCTTTTTTAAACCATTTTCATCAATGCCTGTATTGAAATGTAATAATGTAATGATCTTTCAAATGCAAATTCAACTTCCTAATGGATACAAAAATACATCATACAATAAATTATGTTGGGTTTTATACGTATTTTTTTATTTTAAACTTTTTTTTCCCTAGAAGAAAAACAAGATCCTGTTGGAAACATATGCATGTGTTTCTGAGAAATATATCTCCCCCCAAAATATTCACAATTGAGGCAGTGAAAACCACCATATGTTTCATGAGTGAGCAACTTCTGTTAACATGGCTTCTTAATGCATGCTATAAACCCCTGCTGTGCCTATAGTTTCATGCTATATGGCAGTGTTTTTTTCATTTAAAAGGGTACTCCAGACCCCAAAAGCACTTTATCTTGCTGAAAAGCTTTGCGTGGGAAACGTGTGCCCTATTTTTTCATTTCGCAAAAAGTGCAGATTTAAATAGAAATTGACACTTTTATAAATTATACTGGTTACACCTTCCAGGCTTGTCAACCAGACATCTGGTCCTGTTACTTCCTGATTCTGTTAGCTTATTTGCACTGACCTCAAGAGGGAGCAATTGCTCAGAGTACCTGCCTTGCAAAGACTTCTCATTGAGCTATATTGGGAAGTCTGTGATTGAACAGTCACATAAATTCTGGGCGTGGAGAGCTTGCAAAGGCAGCAGACAAGAGATCTGCAGTTTTGCAAGCTGCTTTTAGGTATATCCCCAATGAAAAAATGCATAATTAAATGCATGTAACTTTGGGATATATCTACTAAAAACTGATTTTTCTTTGTTTTGTATTTGAGCAGTGGAGTGTCCCTTTATGTCATTAGTAACCAGACTTTCCAGAGTGGTCTCAGCCTATTCCTGGTGTCTGCAGATATCACAGGAATGCGCAATTCATATCGCCCGACACCTGGGACTTGCAGTTCCGGATGCTGAGCAGGTTGTAATTTTGTTATTTTAGCCCTGCTGTGGGCTAGCAGCAGAGTTAAAAGGTTTTTTTTTGTTTCCCCCCAGTACTCCCCAGGATCACAGCTGCAGGGGACTTCAATCCTCTGGCGGGTCGCTTTAAATAAGCAATTTAGGCGGCTAAATTTTGATTAAAATAATGTTTTTGTATCAGAACAAGTAGATTGGGCAAATGCTTTAGTTCCTGGACAAGTAGTTTTTTGTTTTGTTTTTTTAATTTCCACACCCTTGTATCAATTGTAAAATATGCAGATACTGAGACTTTTAAAGGCAAATATACTCTGTTATATTATTTTGAAAATATTAATGCATTATCCACAGTACAGTATATTAAATGAAGGATCCCCTCCAGCCTCTAGAGCAGTGGTTCCCAAACTTTTTAGGTTCAAGGTGCCCTTTATATTTTTCCAAGGCACCCCAAGTTTTCTAGGTTGTCTAAAAGTACAGTTCTGCGGCATATACTGGGCCCCTAATCTTTGGAGTGGCACTGGTGGATTATTTAAAGAAACAATCCAGCCACAATAACCACTACATTACGTTGTAGTGGTTATGGTGCCAGTAGTGCCGTAGTGCCCTCACAGGTTTTAGAACAGTTTGACAACTTTCCTGGTGTCTGCCGGGATAGGGGCTGTAGTGTGTGGGTGAGGGCTGCAGTGTGCGTGTGTGTGTACAGGGGTGCAGTGTGTCTGTGTGTGTGAGGGATGCAGTGTGTGTATAGGGGTGCATTGTGTTTGTGAAGGATGTAGTTTGTGTGTGTGTGTGTGCGTGTCTATATGTAAGGCAGGTTGTGTGTGTATGGGGGGTAGTGTGTGTGTATGGGGGATAATGTGTGTGTGTGTGTGTATGGAAGGAGTTATTGTGTGGTGTGGGGGCAGAAGGGCAAATTAATAAATAAATACTTTTTTTTTTTTTTTTTGCGAGATTCGGAATGTTGCCGTTGTAACCGGCAACGCTCCGAGCTCGTGAGAGGAGAACTTGGCTGTCAGCAAAGTGCAAGCGGGCTGGAGAGGGAGATCTCTGATCTCCCCTCCGGTCCTGCAGAGCCGGCAGGGGAGAGCACAGTTCCCGGTTCATAGCACCGGGAAAATAACTTGCGGCTCCCCTGTGTGCCCCGCACAAAATTTGGGAACCGCTGCTTTAGAGTCTCTTCCAAGAGTGATTCTAGAATTTAAAATTTGGGGGTGTAGGGGGAGCTCCATAACTTTCCCCACAAATATAAATATGCATGCACACAGTTACAGACACAAATACACACTTTTACACATACACTAACACACATATATATACTCATACTCGCAAACATACACTAAAACTTTCTCTAGATAACTAACTATCCACCCTTTTCTCCCTAGCTCAGCAGAGGTGCTTCAAAGGCATTTGGGGGGTGCATGGTACCCCATAAAGTTGTCACTGGTCTCTTCTAGCAGTGAATTTATTGTAACAGATATCTATTTAAGAAATTTATGGATTGTAACTTGCACAGCGGGCCTTGATTCAGGCACTTTATAAGCAGATGAAAGCATTAAACTCCTGCAGTTACTAGCTTCTGGGGAAGCTGTATAATTGTCAGTGTGTTAGTTTGTAATGGGTTTATAATCCAGTTATAATTAATGTATGGATGTATTTGACTGATTTCCACGCCTCAATGTTTTTTTGCACATGCAATAAAGACTCATTAAAATTTCTGCTCTGTTACAAAGTCCACTTCGTATAAATTTTAATGAAGGCTGCTTAAAGCAGCACTGTCATGCCTTACTTACCTTTTTCCAACCTCTTACTCCAAATCGCCTTTCCCTGCTGCCCCCTGGTAGAGCCGATCCTGGGTGGGTGCACGCTCTATATAGAGACGGATCGGCAGGGTGTGCAGTGTTAGGCTCTGCCTCTTGTATAAGCAACCCCCCCTTATTTGCCTCCACTTCCTTGCGATTTGTCCCGAGCGACAAACGTGGAAGGCAACGGTTACAAGCTGTTTGAGGGGCAGGTCTAATGACCCAACGTCCAGACCCCCAGCAGCCACGTCTCTGTCGAGGGTCTTTGCAAAGTCCCCAGACCTTGATATATTATTTTTCAGCACTTGTATTTAAAGGCAGTATACAACAGTTGAGCGAAACTACACAACCTCTTCATGGCTTTACAGACAAGGTTTCCAGTTCAACCATAGTTACCTGGACACATGTCCCTTATACGTAGTGATGGACGTCATGTGAAAAGTCTTGCACTGCATGTGTAGAATTCTAGTGTTGCTTGTAGAAAATCTATTCATTGATGAAATAGGTGTCAGGGCCACCATCAGGGGGTGACAACTAAGATGATTGTCATGGGCTCGCTTACAATGTGGAAGCACCCGATGGGTATTGGTGAACAGGGGCCCTGTCAGATGCGCATGCACTTTAACAGCATGACCGGGCTCCTGTAGTATCGGATGCTGGGAGGAAGTGACAACTGATGCACAGCAAATGCACGACTGCATTCAAAAGCCAACATTCACACACACACTCCATAGAAACACTGCTCAGTGCTAACTGCAACCCTGCAATGATCGGCACATTGTAGGTCCCAGCTGGCAAAGCATTGTGGGACATGCACAACAGATGGGATCTACATTTTGGCCACCCTTGTGCTAGGAACTCTCTACATTGGTTCCAGCACTACTCCTGCGGGCCCTCGGCAGCCAGTATAGTGAAGAGGGGGCCCGGCACACACAATCTTCTGCTTCAGGAAGCGCTCTCCAACTCCCGCGAGCCCCGACTGTTAGAGTGTTTACACCAGTTACTATGGCAACGCTCCGCATGACTCGCAGACTGAACTCATGATAGTTGGAGAGAGGAGCTGCCAAAAGCTGTTGATCATGTTGGTTGTGTCCCCTCTTAACCACCTGACAGCCTGCCAAAAGCCAACGGACCATCAGGGAGTTCACCTGTAATGTAATGTCCCACTTCCCTGTCCACATATAAGAGGTATTTATTTTTGTGATTGCGATCATATACATAGATTAATGAGAGTTATAGTCCAGAATAACTTCTTGTTAAGGAGCTAAACGTGAATAGGTGGCCTGGTAACTAATTGCAGATATGAGGATTTTTTTTTATCAGTTACTCAATTGGATTTTGAGAAGTACCTTCTTTTCAGTCCTGTGTCTCAGCATAGTTAGTAGGTCAGAAAGGCTAGGCACAAATGAGACATCATAATCCTTAATATGCCTTTTTTTTTTTGTCTCCATTCGTCGGCTGTTATTTTGTGAGTGATCGCACGATAAGCACCATTTTCTGTGCTGCAGATAATTAGAGTTGAAATGTAGCTGTGGTAATGTGATTGTTTTGTCTCCTATTCTTTATTGAGACATTTTTCATACAAACTGAAATAAGAATAGAACTGACAGTTAATCTCCAAGCTCTAATAGGCAGCACGAGGTGTGCGCCATTGCCTCCAATTTTTAGATTTCTATTCTTCATCTCTAACAAAATGGGTTTAATCAGGTTTTAGTTTTTTTTTAAATTTATTTATTTATTTTTATAGTGCAACATTTAGTATTTTGTAAAAGAGCAAACACTGTCGATGGCAAGTTGGTGTTCTGTATAGAATAATGTATTGTTAAGGAAAATGGTTTGTTTTGCCACATTACATTTATACATTGCCCAACAGTTCTAATTGACAAAGAGGGATACTTTAAAGGGAACATATAGGCTCCCAGACCACTTCAGTTCATTGAAGTGGTCTGGGTACAGTGTCCTTATTGCCCTTAGTCCTGCAATTTTTAACATTGCAGTGCCAGAGAAACTGCAATGTTTACATTGGAGTGCTAAGTCTACCTCCAGTGGCTGTATACCAGACAGCCACTAGAGGCACTTCCTGCGTCCAAATGGACCTTTGGTCCAGCATCTGATGCTAGACATCTCACGCTCTGCATGAGGACATCCAGCACCAGATTTTTTTCCCCATAGGAAAGCATTGATTCAATGCTTTCTTATGGGGAGGTTTAATGCGCGCATGTGAATTGGCGCCCGCTCAACACCTAACAGAGGAGAAGGCGGAGCCGCAACCCAGCGCCATGGGGCATTGTATCATTGCTTTGGGGCTCAGCTCACTCAGATACACCAACAATATGAAGCTCATAGAAAAGATGGACATTAGGATGGAAAAGATGGAGGGAGGAATTTAGCTACAACAAAGAAACAGAACAACTTAAAAAGGGACACTTGTAAGGTTTGCATTTATGTTTGCCTGCTCACATGTAACACCCCATTATAGTTGATCCTGCGATTGCTTTGTGCCATCCCCTGCTTCCAGTCCTTCCACTGCTGATTTATTTGGTAGAACATGTTTAGTCCCTAATACCCAGGGTTGCCATTAGATTTTTTTGGGCGCCTTATACAGCTGAGTCTGTCCACAAGGATGTAGTGTGTGTGTATGTGTGGAGTGAATGCAGAGTGTATGTTTGTATAATGGATGCAATGTGACTGTTAAAAATACAGTGTGTGTTTGTGCAGTGGATGTAGGGTGTAGTGGATGCAGTTTGCATAGTGGATGTTGGGTGTGTGTTTGTGTAATGAATGCAGTGTAGTGGATGCAGTGTGTGTGTGTGTGTGTGTGTGTGTGTGTGTGTAAATTTGTGGGGTAAAATGGGTTGCATTCTGTTTTGTTTTTGTTTTACATTTTTTTTTTAATTTTAAGAGTGGGCATTCTTAGAGTGCTGAGCTGCATTTTGTAATGCAAGTGTGTTGTACTAGCATTTATATTTTATAAAATATTTACATTGTTAATAGTGCAATAATGCTTGAGTTCTGCTTTTGTTTATTACATGAGGTCTGCTTTGCACTTGCACAGAAGTATGTCACGTGTATTTATGATTAAATAGTTATTTGAGTCAATTGAAAGAAATGACAGAGCTGAGAACAACACAAATAAATTGGGGGAAAATAGATTTGCAGAATTTATTCTGACGTGTTCTAATTTTAGTAAATTTGGTATTGATTTACCACAATGTACTACTCAATGAATAAACCCTGTAATATTTTACTATAATTAAAGATGTATATGTAGTTGTTGGGCAATATTCCATGCATGTGGGTGGTTTCCTTGGATACCAAGCACAAGTTGAAAGGAACATGAATGTATTTTTAGCATCAGTAAGTTAATTGATCTTACAGCACTGTAATCTGCTCGTACGAAAGGTTCTGCTTCTAACCCAGCGTAGCTTTATGCCTAGCCACAGTCCATATTTCCATATTCTATTTCTCCACACCGCATGTGCCATAAATATTCAGTGGTTTTCACTCTAGACATACTCTGCTATTCATTTAAATGTTGCCCTAAAATTTCTATTGATACTTTGTATAGAGTCAGCAGGGCTCAAAATTTTGATGGGATAATTGCCTGTTTAATCCTGAGTGTTCATGATCTATGTCAGCTGGCTTCATGGTGATGTTTCAGTTGTTTCTTATGTTGTTCAGCACATTCCTTCCCTAATTGAGGTTGTACAGCAAGCATGTCAAACTCGCGGCCCACAAGGACCATCTTTACGGCCCGGCGAGCCACGAGTACATGCTGGTGTTCTAGCAGAGTAGGTTCCTGCTTTTCCCACATTGTAGGTGCCTACTCAGCTAAAACTTACACGGCCAGGGAGACAGTCAGTGAGAGAGCTCAGTATTCCTGCTCCTCACTGCTCCCTCGCGCGCCGTCTGTAGTGAAGCCGGGCGCCGGAATATGATGTCATATTCCGGCATCACCAAACCGCGCGAGGGAGCAGTGAGGGGCAGATAGAAAGATCCCAGGGAGATGCCCCAAATCAGCTCCAAAAGGTAGGGAGCAATAAAGTAAAGTGTGTGTGTGTGTGGGTCAGTGTTGCATTGGCTGCGACTGGACAGTGGAGTAACTGGAGGTGCATGAAGGCATGCAATGCTACGTCACATTCCGACGTGACATCAACGTGCTCCACCTTCACAGGGTTTCAAGAAGTGTGGCAGAATCAGATTTGGCACAGGGTGCAGAAGGTGCCATTTGGGGTATACCAGAGGCCGGACTCTGGATTTGCATACTGGCAGCAGCAATGTGAGTGGAGTCTGCTAGTTGGCTAGATGGGGGTGCTGGGATTTAGTAGAGGGGGAGGACTGGGGTTTAGTATATGGGGGACTGTGGTTTGGTGTATGTGGGGGAGGACTGGGATTTATTATTAAGATTTGTAAGCATTTTTTTTTTAAATATTAAAATATCAAGAAATATATAATGTATAAGAAAAGAAATTCCAATATTAAAATATTTTTTCTAAATATTAAATCAAGGTTATAATCTACTTCCATGTATGTTGCTTTTGTGTGATATAATTTTGTTATAACTATTGAGCAGTTGCTTGATCTTGGAATTAATTCTTCATTATTCATTCATGTTAATTTTATTGTATTGACTGTGCCACAGGCTGAGTGAACTTTTTGTAAAAAATTCTTTTTTATTTGGTGTGTGTAGGCTGCATTGAACCTCCCACAACGACCACCTCTTCATTGCTCCACATTGATCCCTATTGTGGCTCTCAGTCTGAAATTCCTAATGCAGTTGTTAAGACTCAAAGACTCATGGTGTTTCCTACCGTGGATGTTGTTCATATCCTGGACTTCCCACCACATTCGGGATGGAATTCGTCACGGACTTTGGATCTGTCCGTTTGGGAAGACTGCTCCATTGCCATATTGGCTGTATGTGGCAATAACCGCATCCTTACCAAATCTGTGTTCTCTCATTATGTATCTAACAGGGACCAGGGAAATGATGACGACCAAGCACGGAATACGTATTGATGTGTAAGGTTAACGTTAGGCTTGAAGTGTAAAGTGAATTGTTTACAGAAATAATCTTTATTTCTTAACACTTTGTCTCATTTTGACAGCAGGTAATTCAACACAGTTTCTGCCATTTGACAATTCAACAAATCCACTTCATGATTTAGGAGATATATTCAAATTGTGGTGTTCAGCACTCATCAACGAGAATCATCGGTTTAAAATCAGATGATTTTGTTGCTGAATGGTATAGTAGATTTATTTTTACCTTTTTCTATAGAGAGACGCAGCCCTAATTTTTCCACAAGTGGTTTATATAAAAATTAAAGAAGAATATAGAATGTATTGTAAAGAGCACTATGGGATCTTTGTAGATGAATGTGTGTGTTCATTTATTTTTCTACTTTACTTAATTTTGCCCACATAAATAATTTATGTGGAACCAGGGGCTCAAAATTTTAAGTCCCAAGTTACTAGTTTGGCAAAAAACTACTTATCTCAGACATGTCTAAATTTTTTCCTTTCCCTTAGGATTATTCACTAAACTGGAAATTCAAAGTAATATTTCAAATTTAAGGTAACAATACTGGATATATTCTCTAAGTCACCCAATTTGGCTACTTTGGCCTTACTTTTGAAATTCACTTTGAATTCACACTCTAGTGAATAACCCTGATTGTTATTAGCAAACTCCTTCTTTTCATTATCACTTGCCCTTTCACCCCTCATAACATACCTCCCAACAATCTGGTTTGGGGAACCAAAACAGGATGCTTGGGGACCTGGTGGGCATCACCAGTGACATTACCTGCATCACTATCAACGCCTGTAAGGGATGGACCCACCATCTGGCTAGCTGCCTTATCAAACCCCCAGCTTTCAGGACCATGGTCTTAGTGCCGTCTGAGGGACACTAGGAACTTAAGTGGGACAGGACCCTGAAATCGGAACTGTCCCACCAAAAGTGGGACTTTTGGGAGGCCTTCTAATGTCACTTACACCAACTTCCTCCTTATTTCAGTAGTGTTTTTACTTTTACCATTTTTGGGCATTTGTTACAAAGCTTCTTTTAATTTGTTTACTTTTGCCAGAGGTGAAGGGCCCCAACTGGTTGGCAAAATGTTTTAACCTATGTAAAAGCCGTAGAACAACCCTCAGTCCAAAATAAGAACAGGTTAGAATGGGAACACCTTATTTGACAAATTAATGTTTTTCTGTTGCAGCATTGTGTTACCCAGCCAATTGAAGACATTTGGAGAATTCATTTTAGGATTGATGATATTACAATTGAAGAATTATTCACTTGACTGAGCAAGTGGTTGGATTGGTGTGTCGTGTCCTAAATAATCTGAAATGCCAGTAGGAGACTTGAATAGCTTGACCTCATGTGGCCTTGTGCAGGGAGGGATGACTCATTTATTTTAAAAGAATTGTATTTATTTTGATTAATTTGGTGATGTAATAAAGTACTATATGGTAAATAAAATCTATTTAAAATGAAACTATATTATTTCGTTATTTTATTGCCAAATTTAGTTTTGGGCTTGTTGTTACTATTTTCACATTTGCATATTAAGTTTATGTATGTTATTTGTAATTGTTATTGCATTAAAACATTTGATAAAAGTTATGTGTTATTTTTGAGTTAGGATAGGTTTAACCCCTTAATGACCAAACTTCTGAATAAAAGGGAATCATGACATGTCACACATGTCATGTGTCCTTAAGGGGTTAACCCCTTCACGCCGTTACGGCATTCTATGCCGTCCCGCTTTAATTGAGCTTTAAAGCCATTGCGGCGGCGGCATAGAACGACGTAACGGCTTTGAGCCCTGGAGCGCCCGGGATACTTACCTACCCGGCGCTCCGCGAGGACTGCCTGACAGCCCAGGCAGCCCTCCCACGGCAAATGAGGCCTCCGGGGACCATGTAATCGCTCTCAAAGAGCGATCACATGGCCCCCTATAGCTGGCTGCCAGCAGGGGGACTGTCTGAAATGTCACAGTCCACCTGCTGGTGGGAAAGTGTAAAAAAAAAAAAGAATTAAACATGTTTAAACTAAAATAAATATATTTATAAACATATATATGTGTATATATATATTATATATATATGTAACGTCATACATAGTGTATTTTAATATTAATATAAGTACATATATTAATATTAAAATACACTATGTATGACGTTACATATATATAATATGTATATATAATATATATACACATATATTATATAAGTACATATATTAGTATTAAAATACACTTAGAATGACGTTACATATATATAATATATATATATATATATATATATATTTACAATAATAAATAAAATATTGAAACAAAATTTAATATAAATTATATATTCATATGTAATTTCATTCTAACTGTATTTTGTTATTAATATATATATGTAACAAAATACACTTAGAATGACATTCTATATATATCTATATATAAAATACAAATAACCACAAATATATAGATAAATACATATAATTACATAAAAGATTACATTAGTATACACGTAGAATTGAAATACCTATAAATGCATATATATTAAAATTCTACGTGTATATTTAAGTAATCTTTTAACATAATTATGTGATTTGATTAATTAAAATTTGATTGACATGCCTGACAACACAGGGAGAAAGTACAGAGAATTTAATTTGCAAGCACTATATTTGACCCTGTAACTCTCCAAGACACCATAAAACCTGTACATAGGGGGTACTGTTTTACTCGGGAGACTTCGCTGAACTCAAATATTAGTGTTTCAAACTGGTAAATTGTATTACAATGATGATATTTTAAGTAAAAGTGAAGTTTTTTGCATTTTTTACAAACGAACGGCACTTTTATGGACTATATTATTGTTGTAATATGTTTTACTGTTTTAAAACACTAATATTTGTGTTTAGTGAAGTCTCCCGAGAATAACAGTACCCCCCATGTACAGGTTTTATGGTGTTTTGGAAAGTTAGAGAGTCACATATAAGGCTTGCATTTCATTTTTTTGACATTGAAATTTGCCAGATTGGTTATGTTGCCTTTGAGAGCGTATGGTAGCCCAGGAATGAGAATTACCCCCATGATGGCATACCATTTGCAAAAGTAGACAACCCAAGGTATTGCAAGTGGGGTATGTCCAGTCTTTCTTAGTAGCCACTTAGTCACAAACACTGGCTAAAATATTTACAAAAATGTGAGGGGTGTACTCACTTTTGTGAGATACTGTGTGTGTGTATATATATATATATATATATATATAACATACAAAATACACAATCCATAAGCACTCGCTTATTCACTAAATAATGATTAAAATCTCACATTATAATAGTTTTATTTAAAAACACCTCAGGGGTACAAAATCAAGGAGTTGGGCTGGAATCAAACCAGGAGCGCTGCACTCACTAAGTGCAGCCATCTTGGTTTAATTTATATATTTGGGAGTCCAGGTCAACTTCTATGTTTTGCACCCCTCCTTGTCACATGTGCCTCATTCCAGGATCCTATTTAGTCTTGACTTGCAGAGAGTCCCAGTAAGGAAGAATTTCCCAAGTAAGTGGATTGATCTCATAAGAGCAAGCATTAGGCTGTTAGAGCAAGACCTGCTAAGAATAGGGTACATTAATGTTGTGGCAGGCTTATGCAATATATGATCATGTAATGTAACCAAATCCCCATTAAAATAATAATTTAGTGACTTTCCCCAGCCATACATGATCTTTTTTTTTTTCCATCATCTACTTTGTTTTGGTGCCACGGGCAGAACACCTAATCTAAAGCATCTGAACATATTCGGGCATCACCTTGTCGTTTGCTCGTTTTATGTGCACATAGCACTGCAGAGAGATGGAAGTTGACAAACAGCTGATCGGTCCAAATTTGGATGAAAGCGAATGCGAAGTCCAATAAGTGCCCACTGAGAGAAATTGTATGAACTACTCACAATGAATACCTATTGATAGACTTTGAGCCTTTGGCTCAAAATTCATGTACATCTCTAAAGTATATTGAAGTCATACATCCGATTCACCATCCATGCCCTCTTAAAGCTCTATATCATGAATTATGTATTTTTGCAGGAAAACATTACAATGGGATTGTCATGTTCTGCTAATGGCTCCTGGGCTAAAGCCCATTTCCAGGGTAAACTGAAGAATGAATTGGAACACCTTTTTTTTTTTAACATTTCACATTTTACCACTCACTTATTGAATGAGACAGAAATACATGAGCAGTTATTACAACTGTGTTCCAGAGCCACAGCATTAAAACCACTGACGAGTGAAGTGAATAATATTGATTATATTGTTACAATGGCACCTGTCCAGGGTTGGGGTATATTAGGCAGCAAGTGAACAGTCAGTTATTGCATTTCATGAGTTGGAAGCAGGAAGAATGAAAAGATCAGAGTGACAAGGGGGGTTTGTATTTGACTACATTTCCTCTCTATTGTATGTTAAACCAGGCCACATTAAGGACCAGTAATATGTCTTTTTTAGTCCAGTCTGTTACTGCTATCTCAGACTTTGCATGTTGGGATTATTCCTTGTGACAGGCCAAATAGTGATGGCTAGACGACTGGGTCAGAGCATTTCCAAAACAGCTAGTCTTGAGGGGTGTTCTTGGTATGCAGTAGCTAGTGCCTACCAAAAGTGGTGGAAGGAAGGACAGCTGGTGAATCCTTCTCAAAACCTCATTGATATATGTAGGGAGCGGAGGCTAGTCCATCTTGTCCGATCACACAGAAGAGCTACTGTAGTTCATATTGTTGAAAAATTTAAAACTTTATACTGTCAGACTACCCATGATGACCCCTGTCCATTGCCAAATGTGCCTTCCATGTGGATGTGAGCATCAGAACTGCAACATGGAAGAAGGTTGCCTGGTTAATTGAATCATGTTTTCTTTTAGATCAAGTGGATGGCTGTGTGTGTGTGTGTGTTGTTAAAGGAAGAAATGGAGGCAGGATGCTCTTTGGGATGAAGCCATGTCGGTGGAAGCGTTATGCTCTGGGCAAAGTTGGCTGGGAAGCCGTGGGTCCTGACATTCATGTGAATGTTATTTTGACATAGAGATTGTTGCAGACCACATCATGGCAATGATGTTCCATGATGGCAGTGACCTCTTTCAGAAGCATAATGCATTCTGCCACACTGCAACACTTGTTCAGGAATGGTTTGAGTGCAAAGAGTTCAAGGTGTTGCCTTCAACTTCCCCATTACTCAATCCGATTGAGTTCCTGTCAGATGTGTTGGACAAATTTGATCCATGCAGGACTTAAAGGATCTGCTGCTAATGCCTTGGTGCCAGATACCACAGGACACATTCAGAGGTCTTGTGGTGTCCATGCTTCAATGGATCAGAACTGCTTTGGAAGCATGAGAGTGACCTACATGATATTAGGCAGGTGGTTGTAATGTTGTGGCTGATCAGTGTAAATATCTCAGTTAAAGTTGTATTCTATGCGAATGTAGAGGTGACATGGTAAGAGAGGCGAAAGTCTGTGAGGCTTTCCTTTTAAAACAGTGCAAGCAACGTCCACAGAAAGATGACAAGATTACTAGTGTTTCTGAGAAATAAAGTAAGGCTTTAACAACAAGTTAGAGTGATCAGTGCCCAGGTAAACAAGACAGAGCCAAGTATCGACCCAGAAGGACAAAGGGTAACAGATGAAGAATTAACCAGTAAGTGGTGTCCAGGTAGGCAGATCCAAAGGACGGGGTCTGGTACACAGGTATTTAGTCAGAGAGGTTTAACACCAGCAAGAAAATAACAAATAAACGTAATGCAAATGATATGTACCATACACCCTTGCTGAGATTGGCGGAACACGATATACCTTTGGTAACGGCTGATTTCCTTAGAGATAATTTAGAGGCCCTATGGACATTTATACCAGCTCATCAGCAACTATATAAGTGCCCAGTTGGATAACAAAGATACATTGAATAGCTAAAATTATTTGGACACCTGGCCATCACACCTAAAGGAGCCTGTTGGACATCCCATTTAAAAACCATGGGCATTCATATAGATTTTGACCCCCTTTGTGGTTGTAAGAGCTACCACCGTCTGAGAAGATTGATTTAATTAAAGACAAAACAGCATACCTCTCCCAATATCTCTCAAATATATATTTATGGTCTTATAGAATTATTTATCAGGGAATTTCCAAGCCGTTGCCTTACTTTTATTGGAATCTCTGAATGTAGTGTACTCTTAAAACCAACCATCTAAGATTCTCCTGCCTTAGCTCAGGTTAATCTGCCAAAAAGGGCAAGTTCGTGTGCAAATGTGTATTTAGACTGCAAGCATAATGCCTAATGGCAAAAACAAACAGCACAATTAGCTCATCTAGTCCCTTGAACACTATTAATTGACTCTGCTTTCGGCTTCCAGATATGTATTTATTTATGCGTAATTACTCAAAGAACATTTAGTTTCTAGCTATATTTAGCCCTGTGCTTTTTTATTTTTATCTGACTTGCATGATCTAAACATTAAAATTAGAAGTTTATCCTAGTAGATGTCACAATGGCTGATTGTTGCTTAGTCACAGAAGCAGCAAAGAAGTATACTATAATCTTTCTGATCTTAACAGGACAATACAAGTTATATATGGAACTAACCAATACAGCAAAATCCAATGGTAATGAATGTCACATTTAGGTTCAATCACAATCTTGTACTTTGTTTTGTTGATAACGGTTTCCGAATTTTAGGCATAATACCAAAATATCTTAATTTTATACTAGTACTGCCAGCAAAGATTGATGTATCTGTCAACTTAGAACCAACAATGTCAGTTATTGTCATTACGCACCCAATATCAAGATCAATAGGGGGGCGTGTCTGCCTTTCGACATGAACGGATGCATGGAGTGAGAGATTCATTCCACACCGAACCAAAATGAATAACCGCATGAATCACCTTACATTTTATGTCAGCAAAGGGCCACACAATATAGAGTGATCAACATGTCTCCTTCAAAGCAAATAAAGCTCACAAACCCGTTCTAGCATAATAAAAAGGACCAGCACAAGCAGGCCCAAGATGGCACAAAATAGTAGTATGAGTCCACATCGATCTCATAACCTTAGAGTCTCTGCATGTTTATTAGAATCTGAGCTCACTTCGGTGCCACTTTTGAGAAAGGTTTTTACCGAAACGCGTCAAGTGGACTCTAGTTTTATGTGAGGTTATTTATTTTACTTTTTACCAATAAATGTATTACTTTTAACGCCTATTTCCTGCATCCTGGAATCCTTTTGGTGCTAAAGAAGCTGGTGATAAAGACAAAGACAACCCACCATAACTATCTCCACTGTCTCTTCCTGTACAAGCTACTAGTCTGAGACAGCTTTTTTTAAGTGGCTCATGACCATGTGAGTTGAACCAGTAACCAGTGTACATCAGTCATTACTGCATTAACTATATTACTCTATGGTCTATTTTATTTGCATTCTGTAGATTCCTCATGATATACGAGTGGTATTAATGCAAGTATTGTGCTCTCACTTTTGTATTTTAATTTAGGCCCAAGATGGCGCCGACTCTGGAGCACAAGGCCCTGCCTCCAAAGGCCCACCAGAGCACGACCTCCCTCAAGACACCACAGGAGATGGCCATGTGACAAAGTAGTACCTGAAACAAATGCTCCAAGACTTGAGGGCCACTAGTTTAAAGATATCAAAGCTTAAATGCATCACAGCATAAAAGCACAACTGCATAATATACTACAGTAAAACAGGCAAATAAAGTAATGAAGATAAAAAAAACAAAAACTTGTCCGTAAGTAAAGGGAGCAAATTGCTCACGTCCTAAGGGCTGTAGGACAGGAAAAAGACTGAGGAACTTAGGGATGGAGCCTCCTTTTAAAACCTTGGTGTTTTTCCTGTCCTATCGGCTGTAAGGGGAGGAGCTAACCCATGTGTATATGCTGCCATGATTAACCACGAAATATGTATATGTACACACACCTATTCACATATACATACATGTATGCATGTATATACACACACACACTTTATACATATATATATACATACATACATACATACACACACATAAACATGCACACACATACACAAAAATACATGAACACATACATATACACAAACAACACACATAGGCGTGCGCACGGGGTGTGCCGGGTGTGCCTGTGCACACCCAAAGCTCCGCGGCACGCGCTATGTGCCTCCCTCCGTGGGTCCCTCACCGACCCGCAGGGAGGGAGGCAGGTGAGGACCCGGGGAGCTCTTGCCAGCAGCTGCTCCGGGTTCCTCTTGCGAGGTCGGAGCATTGCCGCGGTTACCGCGGCAACACTCAGATCTCACTAGAGTGAACTCTAGCCCCCTGTGTGGCTAGAGTTCACTCACCACTGGACCACCAGGGATGGCAGCAGCATGGTCCCCCTTCCCTACAAAAGGTAAGAAGGGAGGGGGGATATTAACTAAATGGCCCCCCCACCCCACACGTTACACACAAACAGCACACATACACACACATAAATCACCCTTACACACACAGCACCCACACACACACTAACAGCACCCTTACACATACACACAGCACACACCAACAGCACCCTCACACACACACACACTAACAGCACCCTTATACATACACACACACAGCACACACTAACAGCACCCTCACACACATACTAACAGCACCCTCACACTAACAGCACCCTTATACACATCACCCTTACACATACACACACAGCACACACTAACAGCACCCTTACACACACATACACTAAGTGCACCCTTACACACACAGCACACTTACATATACACACACATACACACATACATCACCCTTACACACGCATACAGCACCCTTACACACACATACAGCGCCCTTACACACACAGCGCCCTTACACACACAGCGCTCTCACACACACACACACACAGTGCCTTCACACACAGCGCCTGCACACACACACAGCGCCTACACACACACACAGCGCACTCACACACAGCGCCCGCACACACACACAGCGCCCGCACACACACACACAGCGCCTGCACACACACACACACACACAGCGCCTTCACACACACACACACAGCGCCTTCACACACAGCGCCCTTACACACACAGCGCCCTCACACACACAGTGCCCTTACACACACAGCGCTCTCACACACACACACAGCGCCTGCACACACACACAGTGCCTACACACACACAGCGCTCACACACACACAGCACCCTCACACACAGTGCCCTTACACACACAGCACCTACACACACACACAGCCCCTACACACAGCACCCTCACACACACACACAGCAGTATATGTATATATATATACATGTGGCGTGTGTGTTTGTGCTTAAGTGTGCACACCCTTATACAATAGGCTGTGCACGCCTATGACAACACATATACATACATGCACATGAACTCATACACACATATAAATGCACAGTCACATATAAGCATACATGCATGAGTATGGGAAAGCATAGGTCTGCACATAGTACTTTGTATGTTGATAGAATAAACATATCGGAATGCATTTTAAAATGTTGATACATATGACAGAACAGTAAGATAATGTGGGGGAGTGTTCATGTAAAGTGTTGGTAGCAGGGCCGAACTGGGGATACGAAGCAGCCCTGGAAAAAAATCTATGTCAGCCCCATAAGTCATTGTGCTATGTAGGGTGTTTATATATATATATATATATATATTTGTGTAAGGGGCAAAATAGCCGTATATGGAGTAAGGATCCAGCATAAGCTTAGGATAGTGTAAAGGGAGCAAGTCGGTTGTGGTGTGCCGATACCGACGATACGGTAGGCCTGTAAATAGAGGGCCCACCAAGGAGTAAGAAAGTAAAGTAAGTGGAAAGAAAAGAGAAAGTGTTGAAATGAGGAGTGGGTGGGAGGGTCATTCTGATGCTGACCTCAAGCGATATGAGTCAGGTAAGGGGTGTCCCTTATATAGGGGAGTGAATTAATTTAAGCCCCTCCCACAAATACAGGCAAAACTGCCTTAATACTTGTGTAAGGGGCAAAATAGCCGTATATGGAGAGTGCAGCCAATTGCCTATATATATACTGGATACTGGAGCCCTGGTGATGGAACAATATATATATATATATATATATATATATAATTTTTTTTTTTTATTGATACATTTCTTCTTCTAATTCAAAATATTAGTTCTTTTAGGGTAATTAAATTATACAGTAAAGCATACTCACACACAGACAGACAATCTTACTGATGCACACAAATAGGCTCATTGACAGACAATGACATACACAGACAAGGTTACTGGCGCACACACAAATTTAGTACAGACAAACTCTGATACACACACACAAGCTTACTATAGACAAGCTCACTGTCACACACACACGCTCACTACAGACAAGCTCACTGATGCGCACACACTCTCCCTACAGACAAGCCCATTGACACACACATGCTCCCTACAGAAGAGCTCACTAACACACAGATTCACTACAGACAAGCTCACTGACACACACATGCTCACTGACACACATATGGTCACTACAGACAAGCTCACGATCACACTCATGCCTACTACAGACAAGCTCACTGTACACACATGCTCACCACAGACAGGCTCCGACACACCCATGCTCCTTACAGACAAGCTCACACACACACACACACACATATGATCCCTACAGACAAGCTCACTCACTAGCAGGCACACACACAAACTCACTAGCAGGCACACACACACACACACAGAGGCTCCCTCACTAGCAGATGCGCGCACACACACACAGAGGCAGACAGTCACTGACACCCAGACAGACAGCCACACACACACACAGGCAGACAGTCACTGACACCGAGGCAAACACCCACACATACAGGCAGACAGGCACACACATACACAGGCAGACAGCCACACACACACACACACAGGCATACAGTCACACACACACACAGGCATACAGTCACGCACACACAGGCAGACAGCCACACACAGACAGGCAGACAGTCACACACAGAGTCACATACTCACACACAGGCAGTCACACACTCACAGGCAGTCACACACTCACACACAGACAGTCACACACTCACAGGCAGTCACACACTCACACACACACAGACAGTCACACACTCACAGGCAGTCACACACACAGGCAGTCACACACTCACATGCAGTCACACACTCACACACAGACAGTTACACACTCACAGGCAGTCACACACTCACACACAGACAGTCACACACACACACACAGGCAGTCACACACACACAGACAGTCACACACTTACACACAGACAGTCACACACACACACACAGGCAGTTACACACTCACAGGCAGTCACACACACACACACACAGGCAGTCACACACTCACAGGCAGTCACACACTCACACATAGACAGTCACACACTCACAGGCAGTCACACACTCACACACAGACAGTCACACACTCACACAGACACACTGACCTCCTTCTTACCTCCTGCTTGGAGCTCCTGGAGGCTGGTTGTTGGGGAAGCAGGGACTCCTTCCCGCTTCCCATGCTGCAGTCAGCCAGGCCCCTGCCGCACAGTAAGCCCCGCCCCCACCGCATGCTAAGCTCCGCCCTGTCGCACGTAAACTCCGCCCCGCCGCAATTTTTTTTTTTTTAATCCCGGCTGGCCATGTGTGAGCTGTGCCGGCCACCTGGTTCCCCCTCCTCCCATGGGGCTCCCCACAGCTCACACATGGCCGGCCGGGATCACAGGAGCTGTCAGACCGGCCCCAGGTGCCACGGTATCCCGGTGGGCCAGTCCGGCACTGGTTGGTAGTGGGACAGAAAACCCAAATCAATATTTTTTTTTCTTGCTGTTAAACAATTGGATAATTCTGGCTTCAAAAGTTTTTCTTTCTTGACAATTTTTAAAACCCCCTTTCAGTACTTTGATTTTTAGGTCCTTCATTGAGTGGCCAGGCTGGGTAAAATGGTGTCCCACAGGAGGGCAGTACGATCCTTCTTTGTGGTGTTTAATGGAGTTTCTGTACATATTAATTCTGCCATTTAATTGCTGTGTGGTTTCCCCAATGTAGCATCCTAGGTGGCATTTGGTGCATTGAATCATGTATACCACATTGCTGGATGTGCAGTGCAGCAGTATGAACCTTTAATGCTATAGGTTTTATTGTTTTGTGCGGCTGTGTTGTTTGTGCATATGTGCTGGCACAGTTAGCAGCGAGTTTTTTTGCATTGACTGGTCCCGTTTTCTTTATTCTTCCCATCAGTTGGTAGCTTCATGTTGATTCATTTTTGTTGGAGGTTTGGTGGTTGTCTGAAGGCCAAAATGGCCTTCAGAGAAAACATTTTCAAAGTCTCATCTTCTGTTAACATTGGTTGTAGGTCTCAATATTTTGTATTTCCTCAAGAGCTGGGTTGTAGGTGACCACAAGTGGTACTCGCATGCGTGGAGTTTTTACAGCAGAGTTGATTTGTTTGGTAATAGTCTTTGGTTTGTAGCCTTTCTGTCTCATAGATTGGGAGAGTACATTTAGATGGGAATTACGGTCATTAGGATCAGAACATATGCGATGATAGCTAGTGGCTTGGCTGTAGATGATGCCCTGTTTAGTATTGGATGGGAGGAAGCTGGAGCTGTGAAGGTAATTGCACCCGTCTGTGGGTTTTCTGTAAACCGAGGTGTGGATTGTCCCATTGTTACATGTCACAGTGGTGTCCAGAAAATTCACAGATCTCGTGGAATATTAACTTAATTAGCTAACTCTTGAAAAGCTTGTCTTAGTTCTTTTTCTGGTTGTAGTATGTACCCAGGGCCAGATTAAGAGCCCAGTGGGCCTGGTGCTGACAATTATGATGGGCCTAACTACAAAATCTCATGGAGATGGTGCTGGAGGGAAATTCATAGGATGCAGCTATGAGAAAACACATGCCCTATGCTAATCCCACGCTTTCATCTTTCAAGTAAATCCATACCCCCTAAACGCAGTGTCCAGTAAAGCAGGAAGTATATGGATGGGGTAAAAGGGTGGGCCACTGATGCAAGTCACATAACCAGAACTGCTGAAAGGGGTGAACACAAAAAGGGGGCATGTCTGTGTCCCAGTGTCTGTGTTCCCATGTCTCCCAGTGTCCCCATGTCACTAGGACACTAGGGGACATTAAGAGACATTGGGACACTGAGATACTAGGGAACACTTGGAGACATGGAGACACAGACACTTGGGGACACTGGGTGACTTTGAGACATGAGGAGACTATGAGAGACATGGGACACTGAGACGCCTGGATACATAGGGGATATTGGAGACTTGATAAGTGTCCAATAAAGCTGCTTAAGTCTATCACAGTGAGTGCCTGATATTTTTTTCTTTTATACTAGGAGACACTGAGACAATTGGGGGCACTGGGAGACGAGGGGACACTGAGACACTACGGACACTGAGAGACACCAGGGACACTGAGAGACACCAGGGACACTGAAAGACATGGGGCACTGAGACACTCTGATACATAGGGGACACTGTGATACAAAGGGGGACACTGGGGACTTAATAAAGACTTGGGTACAGGTCAAAACATTGCAGTGTCCAATAAACCTGCTTAAATCTATCACAGTGAGTGCCTGAGAATTTTTATTTTATAGTCGGGGACACCGAGACACTGGGAGACATGGGGACACTGGGAGAACATTGGGACACTGATACGTTGGGAGACTATGGGATTTTGAGAGACTAGGAAACACTGAGACACTAGGGATACTGGCACACTACGGACATCGAGAGACAACAGGGACACTGGGAGACATGGGAATACTGAGATACTAGGGACACTAGCTGGGACACATGGGGACAGTGGGAGTTCTTCATGTCTCCCAGGTCTCAAAGTCGCCCAGTGTCCCCATGTCTCCCAGTGTCCCCTAATGTTTGTATCTCCATGTCTCCCAGTGTCCCTTAGAGTCTGTGTCCCCATGTCAATAGAAGATACATGGAGACTCTGGGAGACTAGGGGACTCTTGGAGACTAGGGACACAGACACTGAGAGACATCAGGGACACTGGGAGACACCAGGGGCACTGGATAGGAGACATGTGGACACTGAGAGACTAGGGGCCACTGGGAGACATGGGGCCACTGTGCCCCTAGTGTCTCAGGGTCCCCATGTTCCCCAGTATCCCCAGGGCCGGACTGGGGATACGAAGCAGCCCTGGAAAAAAATCTATGCCAGCCCCATAAGTCATTGTGCTATGTAGGGTGTATATATATATATATATATATATATATATATATATATGCAATTGAAATAGTTGGCTGCACTCTCGGATTTCCTTAAAATGTAACTTTTATTGAAATATTTAAGAGAAGATCAATGTTTCAGTCCCTCTTGTGGACTTTCGTCATGATCCTGATGCAAGTCCACAAGAGGGACTGAAACGTTGATCTTCTCTTAAATATTTCAATAAAAGTAAAATTTTAAGGAAATCCGAGAGTGCAGCCAACTATTTCAATTGCCTATATATATACTGGATATATATATATATATATATATATATATAGTATATATATATATATATATATATATATATATATATATATATTCAGGGTAATTAAATTATACAGTAAAGCATACTCAGACACAGACAATCTCAATGACACACACAGAGAAGGTTACTGGCACACACACAAATTTAGTACAGACAAAATCTGATACACACAAGCTTACTACAGACAAGCTCACTGTCACACACACACTCTCACTGATGCGCACACTCCCTACAGACAAGCCCATTGACTCACACATGCTCCCTACAGAAGAGCTCACTAACACACAGATTCACTACAGACAAGCTCACTGACACACACACATGCTCACTGACACACATATGGTCACTACAGACAAGCTCACGATCACATTCATGCTTACTACAGACAAGCTCACTGTACACACATGCTCACCACAGACAGGCTCCGACACACCCATGCTCCTTACAGACAAGCTCACTAACACACACACACATATGATCCCTACAGACAAGCTCACTGACACACATACAAGCTCACTCACTAGCAGGCACACACACACACACACACACAAACTCACTAGCAGGCACACACACACACAGAGGCTCCCTCACTAGCAGATGCGCACACACACACAGAGGCAGACAGTCACTGACACCCAGGCAGACAGCCACACACACACACACACACACACACAGGCAGACAGTCACTGACATCGAGGCAAACACCCACACATACAAAGTCAGGCAGACAGCCACACACACACACAGACAGTCACACACACAGACAGTCACGCACACAGACACAGGCAGACAGTCACTGAAACCGAGGCAAACACCCACACATACAAAGACAGGCAGACAGCCACACACACACACACAGGCAGACAGTCACACACAACACAGGCAAACAGTCACACACAACACAGGCAAACAGTCACACACACAGACAGTCACACACACACAGGCAGACAGTCACGCACACACAGGCAGACAGTCACGCACACACACAGGCAGACAGTCACACACACACACACAGTCACATACTCACAGACAGACCCAGTCACACACTCACAGACAGTCACACACAGACAGTCACACACAGACAGTCACACATTCACACAGACACACTGACCTGCTTCTTCCCTCCTGCTTGGAGCTCCTGGAGGCTGGTTGTTGGGGAAGCAGGGACTCCTTCCTGCTTCCCATGCTGCAGTCAGCCAGGCCCCCGCCGCACAGTAAGCCCCGCCACCGCTGCAATTTT